ACACACACACACACACACACACACACACACACACACAAGAACTACAAAGTTTTAAATCTTACCAGGCACAAATACCAACATACTGGAAATAAAGGATAACTCTACCAATATCTGTCTGGATAGACAAAAGTAAGGCACGTAAATGGCTTAATAATTTTATTACTACCACAGTAAGTATAGCCTGGAGACCAATTTCAAAAAGGCAATATAGCCAAGGTCTTTTCACTTAAAATTCAAAACAGAATGATGTATGACATTCAGTACAAACAATTTGTACTGAGCCATCATCTGCATATTTAAGCTATCAGCTAAGTGGCAAAGATAATACTCATAACACTGTTTATAGTAGAAGAGTGGGAGCTACTCAAGCAACCATGGATGAAGGATTGCTTACAAATGAGGGCATACCAAAAAAAGCCCTACCAAGTAGTCAGTAAAACAAGCATAGATTATAAAAATGGAACGTATTATTTCTAGTATTACTGAAGTAATGTTTTGAAACAGTATAACCCCATTTTGGTATAAAACACATACAACATGTGTGTTTTTTGTACATTTATATGAAGTTAGAAAAAGTTACTGTGCCCTAACAACAAAAATTTTCCCTCTGATTTGTCAATAACATGCCTTACTTTTGAAATCTAGAACAAAAAATTTCTTTTTTTTAAAGATTTATATGCACACTGATGACTAAAAAACATAAAACTATTTCCTTAGAAAGGTACAAATAGTTCCACTTCTGTAATATTTTTTTCAAATCTCTACTACTGCAATTCACTTACTCTATGATGAGGAAGACGATTGTGGAAAATAAAGTGGATATACAGGATAATCTGATCTTTTATCCTCTCTGGGAACCCTCATTCACCAAAAGGAGAATCCTAGCTTGAAAACTAAAACTTACTAGCATTGTTGTAACGATCTGCTACTCTTTCCCAGCCCCAACTTCCCATTCTCCAAGTGGCTGTAAAGGCCCACAGAGAGCTACTTACTTAGCCCTTTATCTCACTCATGTTTATTGGTGAAATGGTACTGTAATCCAAGTCTTTTGTCTCAAAATACAATATTCATAATTTAAATTCAGAACATTTTCTAAGAAATAAATATATTTTGTGTGATATAAAAAATTAAATGCTCAAAAGAAAATAGCTGAAACATTGAGTCCTGTAGAAACCATACTATTTTTTCCCATCAAAACAATCGACATTCCAACAAATACATCCCATACTTTTATGTTCTGAGTTATAAAAGGGTTCAAACACTTAAATCTAAGAATTCTCAAAACACATCTTAAAATTCTTCTCAAAATTCTAAAATCTGATAAAAAGCCTAAGAACTTCATTTGACAGTCAAATTTTATTCCAAGCATGGGAACCCACTGGGAATAGAATACCTTTAGTTTCAAATTCAGTTTCAATTTAAAACACAAATGTTTTACCCATATTGTCCCACCTGGATAAAATCTGCCCTCAAACAACACAAATGCTTACAGTTTGACTTACACTTGAAGACCACCTTAGAATAAAAGGGCGGTAGTTTTCCATTAATTCAGTATGTTATACAGATTTCAGTGAAATTAATCTCCAAATATAAGGATAAACAAGCTTCTCACTGAGAACACGAAACACCAAAAAGGACTTTGATGTTACTGTGTGTGGTTATCATTCAATTATTAGACTGAAACCCAGTGCATTTGGAAGGGATCTGAATGTTCAGTTTAATAGGACAGAATGGGGGATGGGGAATTTTTTTTTTTTAAATCAATTCAAAACTTTTTTTTTTTAACCAACTCAACTGCACTACAACGATGCTAGAAAGGGATGAATACATGTGCAATATTCTACTTTTCAGAAACAAAATGACAGATCAAGGGATACAGTCAATATTAAAGTAAACCTCATGTTTCTGTTTGAGTTTATATATAACTAGTTATACATATAGATATGAAGTATATGAACTACAGGGATGAATCAAATACTATGCTGTTTCAAAGAAAAAAATTAATACTTACTTCCACTGGCAAATCCACTAGTGGCTGTTGCTTGCATCACCTCTCTTCTGTAATCTCTGTCTTTTGGGAAGCTATTAACTGCCATCTTGTTTGCTTCTTTTTGTCTCTGTTCTCTAAAAATAAAAATAAATTGAAATATCATAAAATTTTACACCAAGTACAATAAATCTACATATAATACTTTAGGCAAAATGTTCAACACAATGGTATATGGAAAATAAATAACTGTACATGGTCACTAATCTTATTTAGCTGGTGTGGAAGCAAAGAGAACATTAATGTTTCTCACTAATGGCAGTATATACTCATTTTTGTGCTATTAACTCCACAAACAAAATCCTGCATTCTGAAAATATATTTTACATTTATAAAGGGGAGCCTACTGCCCTATAAAAATGTTATAAAGAAGACATATAAATGCAGATATCCTAATTTTTCAAAACAAGGCCCTTCTAGACATTTTTTTTTAAGGAGGTATTATGAAAAATACAGAAAATAGGCCCAAAACCACTGAAATTAAAAAGGACCGTTGAGTGTCAGTATAAGGCATATACAATATACAGAATGTTTAAATACCTTTCAAGCCACTCTTTTGGTTTTTCCCACTGTGAAACTTCTGTTCGACAGTTGTAGTAGTACTTTTTCCCAGAAGAGCTAATATGCTCAGACCAGTCATCTGCAGAATCATAAGGCTTAAAACATTTTTAATAATTAGAAAATGTTAATACTATTTAATCACTTAATATGAAATACAAGAATGTCAAAGCATTCATATGGGAAAAGACTTATGTTATCAAAGGTGCCCTAATCAAGGATGCAATTATCTTCATAATGTATCTTAGGAGACATCAGTCTAAGAAAACCTTCAAAGATAACAATGAAATAATCCTATAAATGTCAAGTTAAACCGACTAATAAACATTAGTTTATCAGGCACAGGAAGTAAAATATGAAATTAACAACATCTTGACTTTATAGATGAGCATGATTAAAGCTCTCATTATCGTAATTGCTAAAATATACAGTTACATGGGGTGGAGTAGGGAACCTACTCTCAACTGGTTTGAAGACATAGAACATAGTTCTTTAAGGCATAAAAGTAATCATATATTGTGCAACAGACAACATGTTGCACGCTACTTGGTGGAAGAAAAGCACAAAAGTCTTTGCAAAGACAAAGCTGAGAATCTGTTTTACCTTCAAAGTCCTTAAGAGAGTCAATAATATGTAAAGTCAGTGACATCACTTGTTTCGCAGAAACTAAATCTGGTCTTTCAAAAGTTTTCAGGTACAGTGCCTTGTTATAATTTTATAGACTTTTCCAAATTCATTATAATTTTATAGACATTATAAAATTATAATGATTTTGGAAAAGTCAGCAAGGCCTAGTTTTCATGGAAGTTTTATCTCACAAAGTAAGACATTTTACATGTCCACACTGGCCACAAGAAATCTGGTAGAATCGTTAAGTATACTTTCAGATAAATTTCTTTACTGTTTAATGTTACATTTTGGCAGTCTATTCTTCTGGGTTCATCATGGTATGTTAAAAACCTAAGGAATGGAACTCTTACACCCTGCATGTTTTAATTTTACCAAGCTGAGAACTTACAAGTAGTCTCAGGTCACAAAACTATAATCAATGGTAGAAGAAAATCTTATCAGCACCAATTTTGGAAGTGCTGTAGTAATTTTGAGGGCAGTTGAGCAAATATCGTAGGTTTGGCCACATACTTATGTTCTCAGGTTTATATTTCAAAATAATGAAGTTATCAGAAATTAGTCCACGACAATCACGGAGTTAATTTTTTATCTTCTCAGCAGGCTGCATAAAGTTCTAGGAACCCAGTAACAGAAGGTCAAATTTTTAAAGGTCTCCACTGTCCACTCCCTATCTCCAAATTAATAGGCAAAATGGGTTGGTCAATGACTATTTCCAGAAGATTTGGCTTATTTGGCAATTACAAGATTACTGGTCTGGTAGGAAGAAGTAGAATGAGACTGGAGACAGATGGACAGATGACAAACAGTAGATTAGAGCTGTCTAGAACTATACTTTTCTAAAGTGATGATTTGTGAATTGTTGGTATATCTGTTCTGGGAGATAAACTGCTTTGAATCAAAATACTTATTAACACACTGCTTCTTTTTACCAAAAGTCTTTGCTTGAAAAGAAAAATTCAGCTCAACAGTATATTTAATTAACACGTGTGGCACAATCTTTAGAACAGTTCTAAGTTCACAGACCTTGAAGAGCACTCCTCAACAGTGCACTGATTCACCTCTCAAATCCTAAGTTACTTAACAAAATGTGTTCCAGAATTAAATGGACTCAACTTAATCTTCCCCATCTCAATATTATCTTTAAGAAAAATGTAAAGTGGAAAAAACCTTTTCAAGTAACAGCATAATTTTTTAAATGCTCATATTAGATCTTTCTATCCATTGTGTCCCAAGTGCCCACTGTCCCCCTCTCGTATTACTGGTATAACTGACAAATACAATTAAGTCATTTAAGTCGTTTCACATACATATATGAAATATATAAAGAAGTTAAGACAAAACTAAATCAAATCATGTCTCACCTGCTGCTCCCCTTATCAGTGTTATTTCAGTAAATATACCTGCTCTACTACCATCCCGTCTCTGGTGAACCTCTCTCTCACTGCTCCCCCACCACAACAGGCTTACACCCCAGCTCTTTCACACAAAAATAAGTAAGATTTTTTAAAAAAAAGTTAGCATTAGAGAAAAGGTCTGAGAGGCAGAAGAAGTCTAATAGTTACAGCTGGTTCCAGTTTCTAACTGTTATATTCCCCAAACCAGAATTGGCTTCAACAAACTACTTCAAAGTACTGGCCAACAGTTCTGCAGGGCTCATCCTCTAGGTTCTTAGTTTCAGATAACTCCTAGCTCTTCCTTTCCATTCTTCTTCAGCCCTATGGGGTAATATGTGTTACGTAAGTGATCCTTTTTAATCCTAGATATCACAATATCTATTTTATTATTGTCTGTTAGAAAAATAACTAGCATGAACTCTATTTTCCCAAGTGGACCCAGACTAATAATGCACTATATAAAACTTTCCTAAATTTTCTTTTACGAAATACCATTACTGCCTCAGTTTTCTGTGTAAATTTACTATCCACAGTTTCAACAAAAAGTAAGAAATATGCCCAAAGGGTCTTTCAATGCCAAGGATCACCCAAATATCAAGACAAAATCTATGGGATTCAACTACACTTCTACAACCTTATAGGTATATATTTCTCCCATAATCTATTTTCCATACCACTATCTCATAAATTTTTTGAATTTCAAATACGCTTTTACTTCCCTGATTACTTAGCATTGTCAGTGGGTTCTGCAAAACGGACTGTAAGCAAAACTACATGTAATGAAAACAGTGCATCAACTATTGATGCCGCACTATACTGTAGAAGAGGGAAAAAATCCCAGCTGACATTTTTCAAAGACCTGCTCTATACTGTCTAGTTACCTCCCAAGGTCTTTATATAAAACTTCATATATATTCCTTAACAAGATACATTAACTCCTTATGATCTGGACCCTATTTACCCCATGGTAGTAACCTTAGTTCCTACCATGTGCTTCTAGACTATCAAAAAATCCTTGTAGTTCTCCAAGCATGCCAGGCTGTTTTTCACATCTACAATTTGTAAGTTAAATGCAGTTCCTTTGCATTCTACACAATCTTCTTCAACTGTTACATGCAACCAAGGTACTTGTACTTTATCATTCTCACCCAATACAAGTCTCTCCCAGAAAGTGATCATCAAGTAACTATAACATGCACTGCTTTAACTACTTTGCTTCCAATACAAGTCCAAAAGTTCCTTTAAGATGAAGTTTCTGTAATACAACATTAGTTATATCAAATCTACAACCTGAATGAAGACCTTATTGCATTTTTGCAATGTATTCAAAATTCAACCTTGACTTTAAAAAATCTGAACTGGCTGATTAACAGTTACTTCTTTTTAAAAGTACATAAAATTCCTTACTGGGTTTCATTCCCTTGAGGCATAGGGACTTTTATTTTTTAATCACTAGAATAGAATATCACAGCAGAATATAGAATATCACAGGAGATGCTCAACAATGTATGCTACAAAAATGTATATAATGAACAGAGAGTAAATTGCAAACTAGCTACTTTAACTAAAGAAGTCTCAAAATCTGAAGTTCTGTGTGTCTCAGATGCTACAGAGGTGTAATTTTGCTCTGTACAGGAATGCTGTAAAACGTCAGGCTGCCATCTTTTGACTACCCCACTTCTACACACAAGGTATAGCTCATTAGTTCCAAGTACATTATATTGTTCCGAGTACATTATATAAGAAAATATCAACTTTAAAAATTCATTAGATAATTTAGGACCCTCCCTGGTGGAACAAGGGTTTAAAGCACAGCTTCATGATGTTATCTGCAGCTACTGCAGCACAAATTCAATCCCTGGCCAGGGGACCCACATGGCACGGCAGTACTCTCCTGACCCGACCATTGCTCCCCTCAGCAGTGTATTTTGTTGATCAGCCTGTTCTGCTCCCGGCTCTGTCTCTGGTGGATCCTCTCATCCCTGGCACTTCTGGCCTGTATTCCAGTTTTTGTATGCATAAATAAATCTTCTAAAAAATTCATTAGATTTAATAATGATGTCTTTTCTGTAATATATTCAAATACCCCCCCCCAGAACCAAAATTAAGTATGTTTATATACTTACTGCATCTGAAGTTTTGCTTGGATTATTGCTTGGATTAGAAGAATGTGAATTTGAACTATGAAGAGCACTGTGGTTGTGTGAATTTTCTTGTGGAGAGTAACTGGTCCCTTAAAAACAAAAAAGAGCAAAGTGCATTACAAATAAGTTTTTTGTATTTTGTGTTTCTCTCCTAATACATCATTATATATTCCCAAATCATTTTTTTACCATGATTTATATAAACATCAAGAATGAAGGCATGCACATTCACTCATATAAATTATTTGTGACCCTAACAGATGTGACTAAAACACACATAGACTACATGATATCCTATGGAACCATCTTATAAGCAAAACCTCATCTCCATTTTTTCTAGCAACTTCATAATAAAAATTTTGCTAAGGAATGACAAACATAGAAAACAAAAATTCTACTGTTAAGAGCTGTAAATCACAATGCCCATTTTTGGCAATTAATTTTCAATTTTTTAAAATAACTCCTTTGCTTTTTAGTTTTTTATCATTTTTACCAACAAAAACAGTTACCAAGTTGTCAAATCTTAGCAACAGTAGGCCCTTCAAGATGATGATGGCATTAGGTCTCCTAATAAGATTAACTCTGCCTTAAAAAAGCTAGTTACGGCCCTCCCTGCTGGCGCAGTGGGTTAAAGCACTGCACTGAGAAGCTTAGGCCACTTCTGCATGAGTTCGATCCCCGCCTGCCCTGGAGGAGATCCACATGGTGTGGCAGACCTCTCCTGCCCGCCCGCTGCTCCCCTCAGCAGTGTACTTTGTCGATCTGCCTGTTCTGCTCCCCGCTCTGCCCCGCTCTGTCTCTGATGAAGCCTCTCACCCTCTGCATCTCTGGCCTGTTCCCCAGTTCTGTATGAATAAATAAATAAATCTTTAAAAAAAAAAAAAGCTAGTTACTCATGAGTAGTCTACACATCTCAAGGATCATCAGAAATGACAGCTTTCATTGTTTTAAGTCAAGGTATAGAAATCCATAGATGCAAAAACACTAAAATGTTTGCCACAAGTCTAATTCCCAGTATTTAAATTTCTTTTCACAAGTTATTTTTAGCAGCAAGTAACAGAATTCAACTTTCTTTTTTTAAAGATTTATTTACTTATGCATACAGAACTGGGGTACAGGCCAGAGGTGCAGATGCGGTGAGAGGATTCACCAGAGACAGAGTGGGGAGCAGGACAGGCCGACTGATGAAGTACACTGCTGAGGGGAGCAGCAGGTGGGTCAGGCAAGGTCTGCCACACCATGTGTGTCACCTTCCCTGGCCAGGAATCAAAACTCATGCTGAAGTGGCTTTAACTTCTTAGGACTGTGCTTTACCCTGCTGCGCCACCAGGGAGGACCCTCAACTTTTTTTTTTTTTTTTTTTTAAACTGAGCTGACAATGGTGTGGAGACAGTATGATGTCTCACAGTAAGATAAACAAACACTGTAATTGGAAAGAACAACCTAAATTGTCAACAATTTAAGAATTAGGGGTCAGAACCAGAGTCAGTAGGAGGAGAAATGAAAATTTTATTTCATAAACCTACACTGACACAGATAGTTGATATATGACAAAGACAGTAACAGTAAACAATGGAGAAAAAAGAAGTTCTCTTCAACAAATGATATGGACAGCCATATTATGCAAAAGGATGAAACTAAACCACTATCTCACATAACACACAAAAATCAATTCAAAATGGAATACAGACTTAGATATGAGACTTGGAAACAACACATACAAGAAAACAGGAAACACGCTGCAACCATGACGTCAGTGGTTTCTTTAGTGACTCCATCAACAAGGCTACTTAAAGCTAAACAAGTAAATAGTAAACTGGCCTACATTAAGCTAAAAAGCTCCTGCACAGTGAAAGAAACTCATTAAGAGGAAAAGATACCCTGAAGGGGATAAAATAAAACCAAGTATAGAAACTTCCCAAGTGCTCAAGAACAGATAAATAAAAAATGTGGTATAAACACAATGGAATTCTACTCAGTTAAAAGAAAAGATGGAATCTTGCCACTCAGGACAAATGGATGAACTGGTGAGGATTAAACTAAGTGCAGTTAGGTGGAGAAAAATAAGTACTGACTCTCTAAAATATAAAGACACAAAGTAGGAACAGACAAAAAATAAACCATTGGAATCTAACTAAACTGAGGCTGCAAGAGGACGTGTGAACAGAGAGTGGAGGGGTCTAATGAACCATGGCAGAAGAGTTATCAGTGCCTTGTTGAGGACATAGTAACACACATTTGAAGCAGGAACCTATACTCTAAAACTTACAAGTTTTAAAGAAAACCTTAAGATCTTTGCAGAAATCCCTACTTTTCAGATAGTAAACTCATTACTAAAGTTTTAAGAAAAAAATTTTTTTAACAGCTTAATGGTCTACCACAATACCATATATACCATGAATTGTGATGTTCAGCTATAATGGAGTTAAAACCAATCTCACTAAAATGAACCCAAGTAATCTTTACGCGGCCTATCTGATATTTATTTGCACACATTTTTGAGAAAGATGGTCCTTGCTTAATCTACAAAATAACAATGCCACACTGAAGATTTGTTAAAATACACAAAACCACTGGAGATAAGTAAATCAGGGATAAGGTTTAATGATTTATTATGAGGTTAAAATGTAAAAATTCTCTCCTTTGGTGCTTTTCCTAATTATCAGCGAAAACACAAATACCAGGAAGCACTCCAATTAAATAAGCTTTTACCTCCCAAGGAATGGTTTATCATCCATCAGCCTGATAAAAGTTAACACACCGTTTTTAGGTCTAGTAGATGTATTTTTCAGAGGACATGACATCGTAATTACAAACCACAACTGAAAGTAGCAAGGCAGACTAGTCTCAGATGCAAAAAAAGGTTAAGAAGGAAGTCATTCTGAGGCAGAAACTGTTGAATTAGGACTCTATCCCACTTTATGGAACAGATTTATCTATATAACTAAGAAAATAAGGAACAAGATTAAGACGAAGATATTTTACCTCAGATCTTGTATAAATAAGTCTTTAAGAGGAAAAAAAAAGATGAAAGATATTGTAGTGTAGTGTAAGCATAAACTGACTTTATTAAACAGGATCCAAAACTGCAGAAAAGTTTTTATAAACCTCTTGGTATGGTGTGTCTTTACAGATGCCAGACTGAATGAAGGACAAATTTAGTAAGTGAAGCTACACAAAACTCAATCTCTATAAAGAAAAATAAAATTATCTTCCAAAGCACTCAGGAAGGTGGAGCTCTCATTTGAGTCTCAACAGTTCCCTCCAAAATTAAATAACAAGCAAACAGAAAAGCAAAGTGTACTCAACCACCCAGGGTCAGAGTAATGAGAATAGTCAGCTGCACTTTTCCAAAGTGCTGCAACACAAAATTTCTTGGAAGTCTTCTATTTTACCTTGAAAACTCACATGAATTTTTGTATCCTATTCTATAATGTACTTAAGTTTCTGGATAAGAACACACGTTTTTTAAATTAGTGGTGTAATGCAAAGTCGTCTTTTTAAGACAAAAGCAATTTGTGGATATAACTAATATTTAAGAGAGTAAAGGAAGGACCCACAGCGATTATTCATCCAAATGCTCAAAGGAGTAGGTTCTGTTTGAATCAAAGAATCTAAGTTGTTTACATGCTCCAGAGACCTTTATAGTCTGTAAAATACCAAGAAAAAGGTTTACTCCTGGCGGGGAGTGGTGGATCCATTAATGGAGGAATACTGCTTAAGATTGGCTGTAGATGACACACATTTAAACCTTGAGTTAGGTAAGTATCTCAAGCTTTTAAGGAAGAGATAGTACTGAAAATTACTTGGAAAGGGGGCAAAAGGAAGAATAACAGGGTTTCTGTAGTCAAGATACACAGTTCTACTTGTGCTCAACCCAAAGGTAAATATAAAATGAGATGTGTGACATGTTAAGAGATGCTAGTATTAGACTGAAGCCCAAGGATTAGCAAGCTACAACTTTCTCACAATGCATGTTTTTAAAATAGTTTTATCAAAACACAGTCACAGCCAACCATGTAAATGGCTACTAAACTCTTAATTATAAAATAATGAATGTGTGGCTTACAGAATTAAGTTATTTTCCAGCCCTTAAGAAAAAGTCTGTAACTCCTGAATTAGACATTAATCTGAGGATCAGTAACTAAATAACAACTCAAGATACTGACCTTTCTTCTGAATCTTCAACACTCAAAAAGACAGAATAATCTGTAGAGCCCTCAAAGAGTATTCTAGGAAATGGGCAAAAAAAAAAAAAAAAAAAAAAAAAAGCAGCAAAATATGACTGTCACAGCAGGAAATGTACATTAAGCAATTAGACAGCCATTTCAATTAGAAATGGGACCTTGAATATTAAAGGGATGTATATTTAGGTAGCTCTAGTGATCAAATAAGACTGGCAAATGCAGCTTTTCAAAAGGTGGAACAATAGTTACTCTGCTCAGGGGTAAAATATAGTTGTTTATTGTTATTTAGAAGATGATAACCACTAGAATTTACTACTAGATTTATAGTCTTTGAAATTAAGTTTCAATGCCTTTTACACATATGTAAGATATACCTGTAACACTAAAGATATCATCAAAGTTATCTACCACTCCAAACTGCTTTCCAAATTAATAAGAGCAATTAATAGTAGAACTAAATTTCAGCAATGGATCTCAAACTTCAATATATTAAAAAATATGCACCTCAAGGTTGAATATCACAGAGATTTGAAGTCGGAATATACGGGAAAGACTGATAAGCATTTCCAAGGTGGTACTTGGGAATGTACCACCACCTTGGTGTGGTCAGTACCCAAGTCACACTATTGTTTTCTGGTCTGAAATTGATATGAGGAAACTCCTCCACTACCAATGCCAGCTAAATGGGTATACTATTTCATGGACCACTTGTCAGGGAAGGGGTTCAAGCTCAGTGCAGGACTTCATGAGGTGTGTCTGTACACCTTCTTTAGGGCAGGGAACTCAGACTGTGATTGTACCTGCAACCGCCTCAGCCCTCATCAACAAGTCATGCTGAGTGGTCAGTCTAGAAACTACTTGATCTTATAAGCACAGGGCCCCAAATGCAGGAGTCTAGGGAT